TACAGCTCAGCAACTTTTTCTGTTTTTTGTCATCCTGAGCTGAATAATATTTTAAGGTTAGACCATAAGGTTGCAAGATGGCACTAATTCCACGAATACAAATCACGAAAAAATAACTGGAAATCAATAGATTAGAAATAATAGATTCTGGAGTAAGAGGAGGGACCCTAGAGCTGAAGATCAACCCTGGATCATAGGGATGTTAGTGCTATCACTAACTAGCTCGTGCGCACTGATAGGAAAAAAGATATGCCTTTGACATATTCAATTTAATTAATATTCTTTCTAAAGCCAGGACTTTCTAGCTCAGATACACTGATTCAGTTTCATTGCCTGAAGTTGAAATTGCTGGATTTTTATGTATATGTATTCATGTGTGTTTCGCGTTTGTGCGTGTTTGTAAACGGTTCTGAGTGTGTGTTTGAGTTTGTGTGTGTCTGTGTGTGTGTGTGTGTGTACTCACCTATTTGTGCCTGCAGGATGGAGCATTGACTTCTGGATCCTGCCTTTCTAGCCATCGGTTGTGTGTGTGTGTGTGTGTGTGTGTGTGTGTGTGTGTGTGTGTGTGTGTGTGTGTGTGTGTGTGTGTGATATTTAGTAGGTATGATGGAAAAAATGAGGTCTGGAGTTAGTATACAAGACAAATCGACGGTTAGAAACGTGGGGTCCAAGAGCTAACACCTCGATCCTGCTAAAACAGGATTTACAAATAGAAAACACACGAGAACATCACACACTAACAGAATTACCGCCACTATCCTCTTGCTCTGCGGGTTGATACTATTCCCGATACTTCGTTTTTTTTCAATTCCCTTTTTAGATGTCGTGCCTCCTTCCCCTACCCTATTCTCTTCTATCCACCACTGCTGAGTATCCACCTCTTCCACATCCCCCCTATATCCCATCTTTCCTCTACTCCCATCTCCTGTTACTTCCTCATGTCCACTTTTGTCCTATTTTGTCCCCCCTTCCCTTACACCTCCCTCATTTCTCTTTCACCAAGCATTTTGTTCTTTCCCTTTTTGCTGCCTTCCAATCGCCTCACTCCCGTTCCATCTCCCCTCTCTTCCTTTCCTTTACTTCCCTTGGGGCTACACTCAGGCGGCGGAGCAATCAGCTTAATCTGGAGTTTCTATATACGGGGGTGAGTGAAAACATACGGGACATTTTGAGGGTTTTTTATAAAAACGAATATTTCTGAAATGAAACTCCAATGCAGCGGCGACCATCCATCCAGTGGGCTGTTGGTAGTAATTGGAATGTTTAAGGTCGTTCCCTTGTTTGTACTGGTTTGTCCCTCGTTATGAAACAAGCGTACCAACTGCGTTATTATATATATATATATATATATATATATATATATATATATATATATATATATATATATATATATATATATATATATATATATATATATATATATATCACTAAGAACTCTTTGACCCGTTCAGGATTCGAACCCATGCCGCCTAGGATTACCCCTAAACGTACACAGTACCGTGACCACCGCACCAATGATCGTCTATAAGGATTGGTCAGTCCTGGTGCTTATTAACTAAGCTCCCTGACTGATCAACCCCCGACGACACTCATGGATCCATTTGGGTACAGTTTTTCATCAAATTCTGGCGCATGCACGGGCCGCACTGAGTTTAACATGTGTGAGTTTAACATGGGTTTGAATCCTGGCCGGGTCAAAGAGTTCCTAGTGATATATGGCTTGCGTGTTCATGCAGCTTTCTCACATGTTAAATTCAGTGCGGCCTATATATATATATATATATATATATATATATATATATATATATATATTATATATATATATATATATATATATATATATATATATATATGTGTGTGTGTGTGTGTGTGTGTGTGTGTGTGCGCACAGACTTGCTTATAACCACAAGTTGAATTTTATAACTTTTTAGACACAACTCACCAGGGGACTCGAACACTGGCCATCAAGGTGGCAGTTATGCACTGTATCCACTACACCATACTTCAAAGCTTTAAAAGAGGTAGGAATAAGCAAGTCTGTGCATTAAGCATTTGGCACCGAGTTCTCCCACATTAACAGGGCTTGATGAAAGAACGCGAGAGGTCCCTCACTATCTCATTGCCTGGAGAGGAATGGAGTTCTGGTTGGTTAAATACCCCAGAATTCCTACCTCTTTTAGGGCTCTGAAGTATGGTGTAGTGGATACAGTGCGTAACTGCTACCTTGATGGCCAGTGTTCGAGTCCCCCTAATGCGATTGTAATATAAAATAAAATTCATTTCAAATCAAAAACCTAATAAGTGACCCATGAAGTAGATCAGCCTCTAGGGTCAAGCGTCAGAAAAGTTGATTCGATTGAAGAAAGACAGAATGAAAGAATAAATGACATAAATAGGTAAAACAGAGGAACAAATCCACAAGGGCCGTGACGAGGATTCAAACCTGCGTCCGATAGCATCCCAGACGCTGCCTTAATCGACTGAGCTACGACATGGTCAAAAGAGTTGAAACCTTAGTTCTACTGAACTTACTGGATCCTGCAGCCTCTCCGAGACACAAACACAAACGCAGCGTCTGGGATGCTCCCAGACGCAGGTTCGAATCCTCGTAACGGCCCTTGTGGATTTGTTCATTTGATGCATCACGCTATTGTGATTTCTGTGTGTAAAACAGAGGAATATGAATGGGGGATTGTGAAAAGGCCCTGACTTATCAATATATGCCTCAATATACTCTAATACGTCAGAGGTACACCACACTTTCAGAACTTTCAAAAAAATAGGCAAAATACAAAATTAAACAAATTCACCCGAAACTCAAATATACAATCAAATACGCTTGCGTTTACAAATATAAACCCGAATATTGACCAGGGAATACTCCGCTGTGTCCAGAGTCCGGCGTTTTATTAGCGGAAACATTAAAAACTATCAACATTCCCAAACATACGAACCAGAATCACACCCACATTAAATGCAAACAAACACACGCATTGGAAGACCATTCAGATGCCAAACACGAGGTCCTAAAACCTCACTATTCTCTCCAAACATGCAAAACCCACATTAAAAAAGGAACAGATGTTTCAGAATAAAATCTTTTGAAATAATGTTCGTCTCTGAGAGCTGTTAACACGATAACCGAAGAGATGGAATGGAAGGGGGGGCCTTTAGAGAAAAGGGAGGAGGAGGAGCAGGAAAGCAGTGAAGGGGGAAGAGGACGAAGAGGAGGAGGAAGACAGAGCAGGGAGGATTCAAGACAGGGAAGAGAGGAGAAAGTGAAAAAGAGGCAAAGGAGGGGTGGTAAAAAGAGAAGGAAGAAGTACCAAAAGATTTTTAGAGGCGGAGAAAGTAGAGAAAGGAAGAAAGTGGTATATAAGGAGGCAGAGGAGTAAGGACAAGAGACTTGGAATAGAGGTGCAAGCAAATGGAAAAATAAAGAGAAGAAAAATACTGAGAGAAGAAAGAAACAATGGTGGGAAAGGAACGAGAAGAGGCAAAGGTGGACAACAAGAACTTAAGACGAAATGGAACAAGAGGAATTAAGTAGTAGAAAGCGTAGAACTAAAGTAGGAAGCAGAGCAAAACAGCAAAGTCAGCTTAAGTCCCCCGGCTGTGTTACTGTACACAGTGTGTCACAGATGGTAAGAGGGAGAGAGAGAGAGGGAATGTTGGAGACAAATGTAAAGAGAGCAAGGGAGAAACAGAAGAGGAAGGGAGATAGACAGAAAGGCCAATTGACGAGAGGAAAGGAGGTGGTGGTTGTAGGGGGAATAGCAATGATGGAGAGAGAATTATCAGTGAACAAGGAAAGGGAACTATCAAGGAAAGGGAACTATCAAGGAAAGGGAACTATCAAGGAAATCGGACTATCAAGGAAAAGCGCCAAGCCATTAAGCCTATATAGCACTTGGAAGGTGTCAGGACAAGTATTTGGGATGGGACGGGGGGAAGGAATGGTGGCCAACCACTTGGACGGTCGGGGATTAAACGCCGACCTGCATGAAGCGAGATCGTCGCTCTACCGTCCAGCCCAAGTGGTTGGACTAGTGAACAAGTAGAGGATATATATAGAAAAAAAGTATATTAATCTAAACATAGTAAAAGAGCAACCAACGAAAAGATTGAAAAAAAACCGAACAAGGTAAAATATGGTAAAAAAAAAGACGAAAAATTAAAAGATGGAAAAAGATGGAGTATAAAATAAATTATACCTTGGGTTATATAGTAAAATAAACAGTAAGATAGCAACGCAAGAACTAATCAAGGAAAAGATAGTTATAGAAAAATTGTGAAAATATGAAGAGCAGAGGAAGAGTATAGAGAGAGCACAAAACACTTATGAAAATCTATCACCAGGATGCTCAACTTTATATATATATAATAACCAGAGAAGGAACTAGCTAATGAACGCCTGAACATTATGAACATTTAACAATACATGTGAGTAATTAGACACGATGGTTCCTGCACATTGTTGAACAGCCTGAGGTCAGCAGGGAACCTGCGGAGGGCCGGGAAAGATAACATTAACCCTAATAATTACTGGCTCATCCGCTTAGTTGAAGAAAAAACATGGGAATGTTTTAGTTTTAACTTGAGACGGGGGAGAAGGTAGGTAGGTAGGGGTGGGTGGGTGGGTGGGTGGGGGGGTGGGGGTGGGGGGTTGGGTGGGGGGGGTGGGGGTGGGGGGTGGGGGTGGGTGGGTGGGTGTGTGTGTGTGTGTGTGTGTGTGTGTGTGTGTGTGTGTGTGTGTGTGTGTGTGTGTGTGTGTGTGTGTGTGTGTGTGAGAACCTTACAAACACCGGAAAGGTTTTATACACACGACTGAAACATTAAAATATAGTCGACGAAAGAAATCGGCAAAAATATTAAGCGAAAATCTCCCAAATAAACCTAAAAAAATAAATTAAGGAATTAAATAAAGCAAAACAAAAAAATAGTAATAAAAAACAAATAATAATAATAATAATAATAATAATAATAATAACAAAAACAACATGAAACAAGGAACTCGCAGAGCAAAGAGAAAACTCAAGAGATTACTTCATCGGAGCTCTTTGTCGTCCAACTCTGCTCTCCATGTCGCCACGTTCGTCATCGTCTCCCCCTCAGCGTCACCGGCCGTTCACCACCTCCCCTTCAGCGCCACCGGCCGTTCACCACCTCCCCTTCAGCGTCACCGGCCGTTCACCACCTCCCCTTCAGCGTCACCGGCCGTTCTCCACCTCCCCTTCAGCGCCACCGGCCGTTCACCACCTCCCCTTCAGCGCCACCGGCCGTTCACCACCTCCCCTTCAGCGTCACCGGCCGTTCCCCACCTCCCCTTCAGCGTCACCGGCCGTTCTCCACCTCCCCTTCAGCGTCACCGGCCGTTCATCACCTCCCCTTCAGCGCCACCGGCCGTCAGCGTCACCGGCCGTTCCCCACCTCCCCTTCAGCGTCACCGGCCGTTCACCACCTCCCCTTCAGCGTCACCGGCCGTTCACCACCTCCCCTTCAGCGTCACCGGCCGTTCTCCACCTCAGGAAACTTGCGTCATTCAGGTCTCGTTCCGCGTCCTCTCCGCAAGTATTGGTTTCTCTTCCTATACTTGGGTAGGAAACTTGTGACAAAAGTCTGGATTTAAAGAACCATTTGCGGGTATAAATATGAACTTTTACCCGGGCTGTCTGGGGTCCTGTTCAGCTGTTTCTCGGAGTAAATGACGTGTTTGGACAATTCAATTCCTATTTTCATTTTATCTGGACATTGATAACCAGTTTCTTCTAATAGGGCTTTATTTCCTGACAGGGCATTTTTTTACTTCTAACATGCCATTTTTTACTTCTAACATGCCATTTTTTACTTCTAACAGGTCATTTTTTACTTCTAACATGCCATTTTTTACTTCTAACAGGTCATTTTTTACTTCTAACATGCCATTTTTTACTTCTAACATGCCATTTTTTACTTCTAACATGCCATTTTTTACTTCTAACATGCCATTTTTTACTTCTAACATGCCATTTTTTACTTCTAACATGCCATTTTTTACTTCTAACAAGCCATTTTTTCCCGTCTAACTTGCTCATCATGTTAGAGGGCTTGGGGGCTGACAGCTGAGTGGGCAGCGCTTAGGATTCGTAGTCCTGAGGTCCCGTGTTCAATCCCCGGTGGAGGCGGAAACAAATGGGCAGAGTTTCTTTTACCCTGATGCCCCTGTTACCTAGCAGTAAATAGGTACCTGGGAGTCAGACAGCTGCTACGGGCTGCTTCCTGAGGGGGGGGGGCGTGTAACAAAAAGAGAGGCCTGGTCGAGGACCGGGCCGCGGGGACGCTAAGCCCAGAAATCACCTCAAGATAACCTGCTCAAGAAGATAACCTGCTACATAGCCTTTCCGATTTGGTGCCTTCTTTTGATAAATACTTACTTTTATTTCTAACAGGCCATTTGTTTTACTTCTAACAGGCCATTTTTTTATTTCTAACAGGCCATTTTTTTATTTCTAACAGGCCATTTTTTTTTACTTCTAACAGTCTTTTTTTTACTTCAAATAGCCCATTTTTTGTTTACTTCTAGCGATCCTTTTTTTTACTTCAAACAGGCCATTTTTTTTTTACTTCTAACAGCCCTTTAACCTCAGAATACTCTTCAATTTATCAATAGTTGTAATGAGATCAGAGCGTTTCAAATATTTTTCAGAGCGTCACTGAAAACCCGAATTCAGCTCCTTAAAATTCAATATTGAATATTGGTGACAATGGAAGTAAGGGGGCGGGGGAGTAAGGGGGCGGGGGAGTAAGGGGGGGGGGGAGGGGAGCGGGGGAGTAAGGGGGCGGGGGAGTAAGAGAGCGGGGGGGGGGCGGGGGCACCCATTTTGTGCTGATACTTAAAATAATTGTCCCATTAATGTAATAATATATTGATGCTATGTGTATTACATGCGGAAACAGTTTCTCGGTAAACAGTTTACTGGTTAAAGAATAATGTTTAGATAAATTTTTATTTAATACAGCTTATTTCCAACTTCTTGTTTCTGAACTTTGTTATCGGGACTTTTGTGTTCATTAAATCCATGTTGTATGCTGTATACTGCCGGTGTATGAGTTTTGTCTAATGCTGTCAGTGTATTTGTGTATTATACTGCCTGTGTCTTTGTCATATACTAAAGTGTTTGCGTGTGAGTGTGACTTATACTCAGTGTATGAGTGTGTCTAGTACTGTCAGTATGTAAATACTGGTAATGTATGAGTATATTTCTCATACTGTCAGTGTCTAGTGCTGAGAGTGCACGAGTCTGTGCCTCAAATACTGTCAGTGTACGAGTCTGTGCCTCATATACTGTCAGTGTACGAGTCTGTGCCTCATATACTGTCAGTGTACGAGTCTGTGCCTCATATACTGTCAGTGTACGAGTCTGTGCCTCATATACTGTCAGTGTACGTGTCTGTGTCTCATATAGTGTCAGTGTATGAGCCTGTGCCTCATATACTGTCAGTGTACGAGCCTGTGCCTCATATACTGTCAGTGTACGAGTCTGTGCCTCATATACTGTCAGTGTACGAGTCTGTGCCTCAACACAGAGTCTGGGCCTCAACACAGAGTCTGGGCCTCAACACAGAGTCTGGGCCTCAACACAGAGTCTGTGCCTCAACACAGAGTCTGTGCCTCAACACAGAGTCTGTGCCTCAACACAGAGTCTGTGACAGTCTGTGCCTCAACACACAGTCTGTCTCAACACACAGTCTGTGCCTCAACACACAGTCTGTGCCTCAACACACAGTCTGTGCCTCAACACACAGAGCCTCAACACACAGTCTGGGCCTCATGGGCCTCAACACACAGTCTGGGCCTCAACACACAGTCTGTGCCTCAACACAGAGTCTGTGCCTCAACACGAATCTGTGCCTCAACACAGAGTCTGTGCCTCAACACGAATCTGTGCCTCAACACGAATCTGTGCCTCAACACAGAGTCTGTGCCTCAACACGAATCTGTGCCTCAACACAGAGTCTGTGCCTCAACACGAATCTGTGCCTCAACACGAATCTGTGCCTCAACACAGAGTCTGTGCCTCAGAGTCTGTGCCTCAACACAGAGCCTCTGTGTCTGGGCCTCAACACAGAGTACTGTCAACACAGTCTGTGCCTCAACACAGTCTGTGCCTCAACACAGAGTCTGTGCCTCAGTCTGTGCCTCAACACAGAGTCTGTGCCTCAACACAGAGTCTGTGCCTCAACACAGAGTCTGTGCCTCAACACAGAGTCTGTGCCTCAACACAGAGTCTGTGCCTCAACACAGAGTCTGTGCCTCAACACAGAGTCTGTGCCTCAACACAGAGTCTGTGCCTCAACACAGAGTCTGTGCCTCAACACAGAGTCTGTGCCTCAACACAGAGTCTGTGCCTCAACACAGAGTCTGTGCCTCAACACAGAGTCTGTGCCTCAACACAGAGTCTCAACACAGAGTCTGCCTCAACACAGAGTCTGTGCCTCAACACAGAGTCTGTGCCTCAACACGAGTCTGTGCCTCAACACAGAGTCTGTGCCTCAACACAGAGTCTGTGCCTCAACACAGAGACTGTGCCACAGTTCTTCCTCCCGACGATTTGATATACTTTCTTATGGCCTATTGTCATTATTCTTTGCCCTCTTTATTGCCCGTTTTCTTTATTACGTGTCATCTCTGTTTTATTATCTATCTTTAGGACTATTATTATTTATAATCATTCTTCTTGCCTACTTTTTGCTCTTTATTAACCTGGTCTCTCTACAACTTTTTTATTACTACCTACTTTATTACTAGGGAGCCGGTCGGCCGAGCGGACAGCACGCTGGACTTGTGATCCTATGGTCCTGGGTTCGATCCCAGGCGCCGGCGAGAAACAATGGGCAGAGTTTCTTTCACCCTATGCCCCTGTTACCTAGCAGTAAATAGGTACCTGGGAGTTAGTCAGCTGTCACGGGCTGCTTCCCGGGGATGGAGGCCTGGTCGAGGACCGGGCCGCGGGGACATTAAAGCCCCGAAATCATCTCAAGAAGATAAAAAAAACAGTAAAGGAGAAAGGTTAAGTATTACATGTCTGTCTCTTTGACATTCTACCTCATTTGCTGATACTGCTGCCTGGAAGAGTGATGTGAATGATCTCTCATCCTTATTGAATGACATTCATCAGCTTAACACTAATTCATCGTCTTCCTTCCTACATCAATGGTCTTCTTCACTGCCATTCATCGGCTGTCTTCCTCACTATCATTTATTCCTCATTACCTGTCTTGTCAGTCTTCTCTCACTCATCATCCTATCACCATTTATTTTGACGCATGGGAGATGGGGGGGACGATGCTCTAATGGTCTCAGTCAATGGTCATCCATTAGGCTCTTACCAATACAAGTTGAGTGATTGATGATTATTGCTCACTGGACAACACTCCAATGGTTCTTGTATGCAAATCTGGGACCTAAGTACACTTGGCTAAATTACCTCTCAACTCCCTTGATTAGTGAGGCTTCGTAATATATTGCCTCAGGGTCTATAATGCTTAAAAAAAAGTTCCCGAAATCATTTGTTGAATCAGAAACAACAAAGCACATTTTTTGCGTTAGTTTAATTTTGGGTTCTTATGTGATCTTCTAAATGCACGAAATTTCTGACACTGCCTTGTTTATAATGTGAAACCTAAGCAACAATAATAAAAGTCCTGGAAGAAGGTTTTAAAACGAGCAAGCAGGCAAGGTAGGTATACAGGCAGGCAGGCAAAGAGAGAGGCAGGCAGGCAGGCAAAGAAAGAGGCAGGCAGGCAGGCAAAGAGAGAGGCAGGCAGGCAGGCAAAGAGAGAGGCAGGCAGGCAGGAAGGGAGAGAGGCAGGCAGGCAGGGAGGGAGAGAGGCAGGCAGTCAGGGAGGGAGAGAGGCAGGCAGGCAGGGAGGGAGAGAGGCAGGCAGGCAGGGAGGGAGAGGGGCAGGCAGGCAGGGAGGGGGAGAGGCAGGCAGTCAGGGCAGGGAGGGGAGAGGCAGGCAGGCAGGGAGGGAGAGAGGCAGGCAGGCAGGCAGGGAGGGAGAGAGGCAGGCAGGCAGGGAGGGAGAGGGGCAGGCAGGCAGGGAGGGAGAGGGGCAGGCAGGCAGGGAGGGAGAGGAGCAGGCAGGCAGGGAGGGAGAGGGGCAGGCAGGCAGGGAGGGAGAGGGGGGCAGGCAGGCAGGGAGCAGGGAGGGAGAGGGGCAGGCAGGCAGGGAGGGAGAGGGGCAGGCAGGCAGGGAGGGAGAGGAGCAGGCAGGCAGGGAGGGAGAGGAGCAGGCAGGCAGGGAGGGAGAGGGGCAGGCAGGCAGGGAGAGGGGCAGGCAGGGAGGGAGAGGGGCAGGCAGGCAGGGAGAGGGGCAGGCAGGCAGGGAGAGTGGCAGGCAGGCAGGGAGAGAGGCAGGCAGGCAGGGAGAGAGGCAGGCAGGCAGGCAGGCAGGCAGGCAGGCAGGCAGGCAGGCAGGCAGGCAGGCAGGCAGGGAGGCAAGCAGGCAGGGAGAGAGGCAGGGCAGGCAGGCAGGCAGGCAAAGGCAGGCAGGCAGGCATAAACATATTCTACTATTCCATTTGAGTTAGTTTTCATTGTTCCTTATTATCAGTTTATATTCGACATCTCGAGTTTATAATAAATTTGATGGGAGAGGCAAAACATACCACACGAAGTGGCTCTAGAAACTACAGTCCTTTGTTAGAAACGACCAAATTAAGTCATTGTTGGTGGAAACTCTTCAATACTATAACTCACATGATACCTCTGGCAGCTCAAATTTTCCTGGTGCTTTAAACACTTAACAAAAGTTGAATACACGGATTTGTTTTTTGTTTTTTTTTTTAGAATTTCTAAGCAGAAAAGAGTGTCCTGCAATCTTTAATATCTTACCAGTTGTGCAAAGTTGATGTGAAATGGAATAAAGTCCTATCGGAAAGCTTTTTTTTTTTTGGGTGGGGGGCCTTTACTTTTTTGCTGTTTATGGCAATCTATTGTTGAAAGTGTTAAGGACTTATAAAAGCTTAATGTGACTCGACAGTAAATTATTATTATTATTACTATTTTACTGTATTAATGATCTCTTTTTATTATTACCTATGATATGCTATAGCAAACACTAAAATACAATATGGATCTAGTTGTGAACGAGGCTTCACAATCAAACCTGAGAAATGTGTTGTAGTTTCTACAGCAATTAAACTAAAATTACTTGCCAGAGAGATACTGGGAAAATATTCCGGGGAAAAACAAACTGACTCGTAACCTCTCCTCAAAGCTCTCGCTTGTATATATTTTCTGGCGCTGTAAGAGGCCCGAGAGTCGGGTCAAATGTCATACTGACCGAGTTTCGTAGTAACAATTTGACCTAAGAAATGCTGACCTTGGTATGCTGAATTATGGTCGAAACGAAACTCTCTGTCCGTGCCTCTCGGCAAGCTTCCCCAGGGTGAAAGATCAAAAATGGTCTATACACACACACACACACACACACACACCTTACGACACTGGAAGACAGAAGAGTAAGGGGGGACATGATCACAACCTACAAAATCCTCAGGGGAATTGACCGGGTAAACAAGGATGAACTATTCAACACTAGTGGGACGCGAACAAGGGGACACAGGTGGAAACTTAGTACCCAAATGAGCCACAGAGACGTTAGAAAGAACTTTTTCAGTGTCAGAGTAGTTAGTAAATGGAATGCACTAGGCAGTGATGTGGTGGAGGCTGACTCCATACACAGTTTCAAATGTAGATATGATAGAGCCCAGTAGGCTCAGGAATCTGTACACCAGTTGATTGACGGTTGAGAGGCGGGACCAAAGAGCCAAAGCTCAACCCCCGCAAGCACAATTAGGTGAGTACACAAACACACACATTTTGACCAACTACTGAAAAAGTATGAACAGTGGAAAATTTAAGTTCATTTTCTCGAGATTCGTGTAATACTATAAGAAAAATTAACTGTAAAGAGTGTTTTAATAGTCGGACGCGAGCCGACCAGTATTATAAGCGCCCGTTGTGGGGAAGAGGGGTCGAGGGTGTTTATAGCTCAATATTCTTACTCGAGTTGTTGCATCCCCGACCCGACCCTGTTAGCCACGTGCCCCACAGCAATCACGATGCCAAGATGGGTTAGGATTGCCCCCGCTACAAGCATCTAATCTTGAACCTCGAACAGACAACCATACATTCTAATTTACTGATATAGATATTTCATGTTTTAACATACGGAATTATGCCAGTAAAGAATTGTCTGTAAAAGTAATTTCTCTTTCAATTTCCCAGAGTTTAAATCTTTTCTCCGTTCTCTCTCTCCAGCCTTGTTCTGTTTCTTCTCATCTCTCCCTTTCTCTCTCTCTCTACATCATCCAACTTTTTTTTTCCCCTCACTCACTGTTTCATTTACGCTTTTTTTTATCCTTCTTGAATCTTCTCTTCTTCCCCTCTTCCAAAATTTTTTATAATTGTTTGTTCTATTTATTTCTGTTTACCTACACTTTTCTCGTTCTGATCATCATACACCAGCTTCACGATTTATCTCTTCCACATTCTCATTATCTCTCTTCATCCTCTTCCTCCAGATCCGCCTCCCCCTCCTCCACAGCCTCCTCCTCCACAGCCTCTTGCTCCACAGCCTCTTGCTCCACAGCCTCTTGCTCCACAGCCTCTTGCTCCACAGCCTCTTGCTCCACAGCCTCTTGCTCCACAGCCTCTTGCTCCACAGCCTCTTGCTCCACAGCCTCTTGCTCCACAGCCTCTTGCTCCACAGCCTCTTGCTCCACAGCCTCTTCCTCCACAGCCTCTTCCTCCACAGCCTCTTCCTTCACAGCCTCCCATCCCCCTCATCTCGTTCGTTCTCCTGAGCCCCAACCTTCAATATTTCGCTTGTGTGTCGTAACTCTTAATCAACTTGGCTGGTGTCGTCTCGCTCTGCTCCTCCCGCTCCCACCACTTGCCTCAAGGGCCTTGTTGCTCATCCCTCTCGTTCGCTAAGTCTGCCGGAGGTGTTCTCTCTCTTTATACAATGTATTTAGTTGGATTTGGTTTATGAGTGTGGGAAGGTGTAGGGGTGGGTGTGGGTGTGTGTGAGAGAGATGAGAGAGAGAGATGAGAGAGAGATGAGAGAGAGAGAGAGATGAGAGAGAGATGAGAGAGAGAGAGATGAGAGAGAGAGATGAGAGAGAGAGATGAGAGAGAGAGATGAGAGAGAGATGAGAGAGAGAGATGAGAGAGATGAGAGGGATGAGAGAGAGAGATGAGAGAGGTAAGAGAGAGATGAGAGAGAGATGAGAGAGAGAGAGGTGAGTGAGAGAGATGAGAGAGAGAGGTGAGTGAGAGAGGTGAGTGAGAGGGAACCCCTAACTCGCGCGTTAAGGGCTTCACACTCCCCTTTGTTAATGGTTAAGGATTGAGGAGTATAAGCTACGAGGAAAGGTAATAGGAACTAAACCTCACGACACTGAAAGACAAAAGAATTAAGGGAAACATGATCACCACCTATAAAATTCTCAGAAGAATTAACAAGGTACATAAAAATAAATTATTTATCACGGAAGGTACGTGAACAAGGAGACACGGGTGGAAACCGAGTATCCAAATGAGCCA